CACAACAGAATCAATAAATAACATCATGAAAAAGTGGATAAATGATTGAAGTTGTCAAAGACTTCAGTTTACTTGGCTACATAACCAATACCCATGGAAGTGGCATTAAGGAAATCAAGCAACATATAACATTAGACAAATCTATTGCACAAGACTTCTTTAGAGTATTCAAGAACAAAAATATCACATTGAACACTAAGGTGTGCCTGACCCAAGCATGACATTTTCAATAGCCTTATATGCATTGGAAAGTTGAGCAAAGAATAAGGAAGGTCCCATAGAAGAAATGATGCATTTGATTGATAATGTTGATGAAGAGTATTAAAAGTGCCATGGACTGTCAAAAGAAAAAAACAAATCTATGTTGGAAGAAGTACAGTCAGAATCTTTCTTAAAAGCAAGGAGGTTGAGGAGTGTCTCCAACGCAGGTGCTGGGCTGCTGCAGTCTTAGATGGAAGGAATAAAAGGAGGAGTGTAAGATGGAAGGCTTCCTTCTGGTTCTCCTTGGGCACCGTAGCAGGCCAGTTGTCTGGGCTTTGGGGCACAGACTGCGAGTGGGATGATGCTGGGGGAGCTACTTGGGACCCTGATCCCTGTGCTGGGGACAAGTACCTGCCACAGGGAGGAGGAGCGGACTAGCTGCTGCTGCTGATCATCAGGACACTGGGTCAACCTGGCTCCCCCAGAAGAATTTTTCCAATTCCTTCTCCTTTGCTTTGTTTTCCTGGCTTTGCTGGTGTGTTATCACTCCTACACAGTATCCCAGATCAAAAGTGCCATACATGGTTTCATTCCTCTCTTTCAGAAGATTAGGTTGTTGGGGTTCAGGAGGACTGACTGAGGCCAAGGTTACTGATCACTGCTGCATCTACAGAACCCACAAGGACAAAGGAACGGAGCCAAGTGTGGGAGCTGCATGGGTGGGCCGAACTGGAACAATAAAGAGAACGCTTTCCTCCCATGAGATCTGAACATTGGCACCAGCCCAGGGCTAGACATCATTCAGGCAGTGTTTGTATGCAACACAGTAGTTGGGAAGGAAGGTAGATGGTGGCAGGGGTGCCAGAGCCCTTTCTAGTACCTGGATCAGTAGAAAGATTCTTGGATATCTCTTGTCTTGGAAGTCAGTAGGAGATCCCCTGCTCCTGCAAGCTGAAATCTGTCTGGGCCCATGGTTTCTCTTACTTCCATCCCTGTGGACTTTTAAGTCCTATTAAGTCATCTCAGGACAGACAGACAAGCCACTGTCCTGAGGTATGAATTCACCAGACTTAGCACCCTGGTGACTCTGACACAGAAGAGGTTTTGGGAACTTGACTCACAGCCTTCAGGTATCTTCCCTCAGCCCTGCCACCCAGCACCAGCTTCACTGCCTGAACTTCATAAAAAATCAAATAAACATTCTCTTCATAGACTCAAGATAATCAGCTAAATATTCCTTTGGGTTTCTTTAGTGTGTGGACACATTGACCTTTTCTAGTCAAAGAGGGACCTCTGTCCCTCTGGAGTCCTGGTGTGGCATTGTGGGTTAATGTGATGGACTGCAAAGTGAGCTTGAACCATAGAGTTGGCAATTCAAACTCACCAGTAACTCCTGGGAAACCCTATACAAGGCCATTATGGGTGGGAACCAACTTGACAGCACTTAACAACAACAACTCAAAGAGGGTTCCACGTCCTACTGAATAAAATATAAAAGAGAATACACGTAAAACCCTTCACTGTTGGTCCAAGACTTGAACTGCACAAGTACAGGATGGGAGTTAGGGTTGCAAAAACATTCCTGAGAAAGAGTGATGTGAAGGAATAAAACAAAATACATTGAAAAATTGGGTTGCATTAATAGAGACATATAGTCTAGGCTGAAGGAGGTGATAGTAGGTCCTACTTGCACTGATCAGACCATACCTATGGCACATTTTCAGTTCTAGACTTACCTTTTTTCTTTTTTTCAGGCTTTTGTTGTGAATTGGGTGATAGTGTATGTGGGAGAAGATCAGTTTTGCATTCATCCTATCATATTTCATGTCATTACAGTGATCGCAGTCCCCTCCATATATCACCATTCAGTAGTGTTCACTTCTATTACCTCTTTTATTACTATTATTGCTTTTTGGGGGGTATGTACACCGAAACACTCAGGTGTATATAGTCATTTGAACAACCAAGGTGTACATTCTGAGAGCTTTCTGTCTGGCTCTCTGCACACAGCTTTTCCCTCACAATGGATCTGGACTCCTCAGCTGCTCTATCTCTCCATATCATTGTCTCTGCCCCCATATCTGGTGTCGCTGCGTCGCTGGATGGGTCCCACATTCTTCAGGTACTCTTCACCCTTGATGGTCCTAGGGTCCTCTGTTCCTGGACTTTAAGATTCACTTGTTGCTGTTGTTAGATGCCATCGAGTTGGTAGTGACTCATAG